GCATTGCTACTGCTTGTTTGCTTTCTTGCTACTCAGGGAGCCAGATGAGTAAGCAGTTGCATCCGCTTGCCTTCCCTCTTATCACTGCCACTGTCTATGCCAGACTGAGAGGCAGGTGATTGAGTGGATTGTAATGATGAAGAAGAGCAGCCAGTACAAGGGCTTCCTGCTGGGGGGGGGGGGGGCAGGGGTTGCTTCTAGGGCTGACCCTCAATCCTTGTGCATTTCCACATGACTGTAGACTGCACTTGTCATGAGCTTGTCATTCCCCACTCAAGGTTGTTTATGCATTATTTATAGGACATTGTGACCCTCCCTTTTTGCTTCTGTCTGTAAGCAGCAATTTGGGCTAATTTGTTTTGTGCAGGGAAAATGTGGCATTTAATTGCAAAAGCAAAGAAACACCCTTTTCACTTTTGCATCTGCGCTGTTCTGCATTGCCATACTGCCTCTTACAAGTTACGAGTAGAAATGCAAGAAAGAAAACACCCTTGTGTAGTACTTGGATCTCACTTACAAAGAAAGAAAGAAAGAAAGAAAGAAAGAAAGAAAGAAAGAAAGAAAGAAAGTAGATACAACAGATCAGCAGATGATCAACAGGCTTGTGTAGAAAAGTTCCTTGACGTTGGCTCAGGCTTGCTTGCTTGCATCCTGGACTAATAGTCCATTTGGCCAGTTGGAGCAAAAGTGACCATATCCTGTGGCCTTAAAAGCCAAAAGGGCTGCCATGACTTTACAAAAGCTGTCCTGAGCTTTTCATGGCTCAAAAAACACAAGATGTTGGGTGAAAGGAAGAATAAAGCAACAACACTTAAGTAAGCTAAATAGCTTCCCTATCTTGCAAAATATTAGAAAAAAGCAATTAAGCAAATAGAGCAGCCAGATTGCTGACGGGGACTGGGCATTACTCTCATATAACCCCAGTCCTCTACCAGCTTCACTGGCTTCCCATCAAATTCCGGGCTCAATTCAAGGTGCTGGTTATTACCTATAAAGCCCTTAACTGCTTGAGACCTGGATACCTAAAGGGATGCCTTCTTCCGTATTTGCCCTCCCGCCCCGAGTTCAGCAGCAGAGGCCCTCCTCCGGGAACCCTCCATAAAGACATTAGGAGGCAAAGTACCCGGAGAAGGGCTTTCTCTGCGGTGGCGCCCTGCCAATGGAATGCACTCCCCAGAAAGGTCCGCCTGGCACCGTCGTTATTTGTTTTTCGGCGCCAGGCTAAGACCTTTTTATTTCAACAATATTTTAATAACTTTTAACATTAGCTATATAGGTTTTAATCTGCAGCCAGGGTGGATCTGGATTTTATTTGTATCATGTTTTATTTTCTTCTTATTTATATAAGCCGTCCTGAGGCTATGCGAAAGGACGGCATACAAATACTCTAAATAAATAAATAAAATTAATTCAAGTCACATCAGAGGTTTAGAAGAATGGTGATGCATAGAAAGGGCACAAGGGATAATTAGGTTAGATCCATGGTGTGGTGTCTTTCCATGAACAAGATGGCTCTTTAGTGTATGGAAGGCTTCCAATCAAGTATTTCCAGTGAAGGCAGTATTCACAGGAATCAGCAAAGGAATCAGTAAAGGCAATCAGAAGGAATCAGTAAAGGCAATAGTACTGATTCCTCCTCCCCCTGCAGCCCCACCTCTGACCATCTGTTCCAGAGAATTTTGGGGACGCTCTGCAACAGTGAAGGAGGTGGTGCTAAAGGATCTTGGCCCTTATTTGCATCTTAACAAAGCCAGAAAACTGACCTAGGAGCTTCTACTGATTAAATAATTTAGATTTTTAATGCTGTGCAATTAAGAGGGAAATCTCATAACCATGGTAGTTCTAAAAACCAATTAATGTTATAAGAGATGGCCATGCTACAAGTCCATCTGAGCTTGCTGCCTTGCTACTTCACATGCCCAGTGATGCTCATACAGAAAAGAAGATGCTTCTTCAGTATTAGGAAGAACAGTTGAGCCAGACCAGGGGAAATGCCAAGCAAAGCTAACCTCCCCCTGCAGCCCCATCACTGCAACCTCCAGCATGCAGGCGCCACTCCTTACATTCTTACCACATGTAAGCTCCCTGTCTAGATGTATTTGTAACAAGGCACCCCCTTTCCTAAAGCAGAGCCACAGACCTTCAGGATAACACACAGCTTTAAATGTGCCTCTTCTCCATGCACAGTTTTGGGAATGGCAAGGCAAATGCTGATATAGAAACACAGTTCCATGCTCCCCAGGGCTCCAAGTGGCAAGCCATTCAAGGAGCAGCACTTCACTGGATTGGCTCCCTTCTGAAGGAGAGATCTCTGGAAAATCAGAGTGTCTGAGCTTACTTGCAAATGATACAGTCTGAGCAGACATGGAGGCAAACCGCATGGCATTCCTATGAAGATGTAAATCTACTACCCCACAACAGATCTCCAGAGAGATTTCAAAAGGTGCAGTACTGAAATCAGGGTAGGATTTGAGGGCAAAAATCCTGGGACCTGCTCAGTACAGTAAGCAGCAGGAGAGCTCCCAAAAGCTGCAGGCTGCCAGCCCTCTTTCCTTGAGATGAACAGCAGGAGTAGTGGTAGCCAGGCCCTGCTGCAGAGCCCAGTAAGGTCAATGTGTCTGAAGCACCAGAGAGTGAACCAGCTGTGGAATGCCAAAGACATTTTCCTTAAATTTCTGGAGATGATTGGCATCATGCTTATCTAATCAAGAGAGCAGAGAGTGGAGGTGTGGAATGCTGAATATGCTTGGAGATTCTGCAGTTTATAACTGAGAAGGGAAATGTTGTTCAACTGATTCTGATCTTAAATACCAATAAAGCAGTGGGAATAAATTGTGCCTCTCAGAGAAAGAGGAGTGGGGGGGGGGAGAAGAGTAATCTTTTATGCTAAGGAATTCTGTGCCATCAACATTACAGGTTGCCAGAAAAGTGCCCCCAAAAAATGAAGAAGAGAACATAATTCCCAAATAGCTGAATTTCTTAAAATATTCAAATAAAGAGCCCTTTGAATAAAAGACAGGCAAATTTCCATTCGTGAAAAGGTTGTATCCCTCATATTCACCACTAGAAAATCCTGCCTTTAAAGAGGACCAAAAAGGGGGTGGGGGGTCTTGGTGTGCTGCAGAATTTTAGCTTAAATGTTAAATATGCTGGATTCCACAGTTGTTGATTCTAGAATGGGAAATGTCCAGAGCACTGTCTGGTCCATCTTTGTTGGATGAGTTTCAATTGTTGCGGCCCGAGGATGCGGACAAGGTGCTTTGACTAGCCCAGCCTACCACCCGTTTACTTGACGCTTGCCCCTCATGGCTGCTCATCAGAGCCAAGGACAGGATATGTACCTGGGTCTGTGAGGTTATCAATGCTTCTCTGAGGGAGGGGAGGGTCCCTGCCCCTTTGAAAGAGGCAGTGATCAGGCCTGTCCTGAAGAGAGTGTCCCTGGACACAGAGATAGCTGCCAATTATAGACCGGTGGTTAATATCCTGTTCTTGGGCAAGGTGCTTGAGCAGGTACTGGCCAGACAACTCCAGGTGCTCTTGGAGGAAATGGATCATCTTGACCCATTTCAGTCTGGCTTCAGACCTGGGTATGGAATGGAAACTGCCTTGGTCGCTCTGTACGATGACCTGTGCAGGAAGAGGGACAGGGGGAATGTGTCCGTTGGTTCTCTTGGACCTCTCAGTGGCTTTTGATACCATCAACCATGGTATCCTTCTGGATAGGCTGGCTGGGTTAGGAGTTGGATGCACTGCTCTGCGGCAGTTCCACTCCTACCTGTCTGGACGATTCCAGAAGGTGGTGCTGGGGGATTATGGCTCTGCGACATGGCACCTTTGCCATGGAGTTCTGCAGGGTTCCATTTTATCCCCCATGCTTTTTAACCTCTACATGAAACTGCTGGGAGAGGTCATCTGGAGGTTTGGGCTGCAGAGTCATCAGTACACTGATGACACCCAGCTCTACCTTTCTTTTACATCTACTCAAGGTGAGGCAGTGGCTGTCCTTAACTGGTGCCTGGCTGGGGTAATGGGTTGGATGAGGGCCAATAAATTGAGGCTCAATCCAGGTAAGACAGAGGTCCTGCTGGTAGGCAGTTCAGCCCTACAGGTGAGTGACATCTGCCCTGTTCTGGACAGAGTTGCACTCCCCCGAAAGGACAGGGTGCACACTTTGGGAGTGCTCCTCAATCCGGAGCTGTCCCTGGAATCCCAGTGGCAGTGGTGGTGAGGAGTGCCTTTCTCCAGCTTCGGCTGGTCTACCAACTGTGCCCTTATCTGAATGATCGATGCCTTGCAACAGTGACCCACGCTATGGTAGCTTTCCAACTGGATTACTGTAATGCGATCTACATGGGCTGCCTTTGAAGACGGTCCAGATACCTCAATTGGTTCAGAATAGAGCTGCCAGGATATTAATGGGGACTGGCAGGTTTTCACATATAACGCCGGTCCTCTATCACTTACACTGGCTACCAATTGAAGTCTGGGCCCAATTTAAGGTACTGGTGATGACCTATAAAGCCCTATACAGCTTGGGTCCTGGATACCTGAAGGAGCGCCTTCTCCCCTATGTGCCCCCACCCCTTGAGATCTGAGTCAGAGGCCCTCCTTCAGGAGCCATCCTTGAAAGAGATCAGGAGGGTGACTACCCTACCCAGAGGAGGGCCTTCTCTGCGGTGGCACCCCGACTGTGGAGAATGCTCCCCAGAGAGGTTTGCCTGGTGCCAACACGTCTTTCCTTTCGGCGCCAGGCAAAACCCTTTTTATTCTTCCAGTACTATAATCGTTAACTTGTTTTAATTGGTGGTTTTATATTTACATCGGATGCTGTGCAACTGCTACTACTATCTCTATGTTATTAATTTGTTGTAAACCCTCCTGAGACGCCTGTGAAGTGATGGTATAGAAAAGTTTTAAATAATAAATTTCATTCATGGAAATAACATCTGCAAATCGTATGCTTTCCCTGAACGTCTTCTCTTTTTCCTTTGTGTCAGCAGGAAACTACATGTTTGCCACAGCACCTGCTCTTCCTCCCAGACCAGGTGAGTTCAGTATGGTTACCCTTTCGTGTCCTTTCTTGGGCAAGATGCTTGAGTATGTGGTGACATCTTAATGCCATGTTTTCCTGGATGAAATGGATGATCTAGATCCAGTTTGATCCAGTTTCAAACCTAGCCATGAGTCCTCGGGCTGGACATCTCAGTGTCTTTTGGAACCATGGCATCCTTCTGGATCATGTGGTTGGGGTGAAACTGGGTGGCATAGTATTGTGACGGTTTCAGTCCTTCCTGGAGGGTTGATTCCAGAAGATAATGCCGGGGCATTACTGTTGGACACTTGGATAATTAGCCATTTTTGCTACAGGGGATTGTTATGTCCTCCATACTGTATAACATATATGTGATATTCAGGGGAAGATTTCCAGGGTTTTGGAGTTCAGTTCTGTCTATACTTCCCCTTTGAATAAAAAATATGCTTCAAATTAGGGTCTAGAATCAATAATGGACTACTTGAAAGCCAACAAATGAAAACTTATTGCAGACCTGACAGAGGTGTTCCTGGTCAGTGGAAAAACATATCCAGAAAACGCTATGTTTTGGATGCAGTTGCAGGACCCTTGAAAAGTAAGGTTTGTTCTCTGGGATCCCTCTAGATTTATTCTTATTTATTTATTTATTTATTTATTAAAACATTTTTATGCCGCCCCATTCGCCGAAGCCTCGGGGCGGCTTACAACAAAAAGATTAAAATAACATTTTAAAATATATACAATAAAATACAAATATATAATATAAAACATACACTATAAAACAAGCCGCCCTGGCCAAATAAAATTCAATAATATTAACATTTAAAATACTGCTTAAATAAAAAGGTCTTCGCCTGGCGCCGAAAAACAAATAACGACGGCGCCAGGCGGACCTCTCTGGGGAGCGCATTCCATAACTTAGGTGCCACCGCTGAGAAAGCCCTCCTCCGAGTAACCACCCTCCTAACTTCTTCCATGGAGGGCTCCCGGAGAAGGGCCTCTCCCGCCGATCTCAGGGGGCGGCTGGGCATATAAGGATGTAAGCACTCCTTCAGGTAACCAGGACCCAAGCCGTTTAGGGCTTTATAGGTCATTACCAACACCTTGAATTGGGCCTGGACTTCAATGGGGAGCCAGTGAAGCTGACGGAGAACTGGAGTCATGTGAACATAACGTCCAGTCCCCGTCAGCAGCCTGGCAGCTCTATTTTGGACCAATTGAAGTATCCAGACCGTCTTCAAGGGTAGCCCCACGTAGAGCGCGTTACAGAAGTCCAGACGGGAAGTCACCAACGCATGTGTCACTGTCGCAAGGCAGTCATTCTCCAGATAGGGGCGCAGCTGATGAATTAGCCGAAGCTGGAGGAAAGCGCTCCTCGCCACTGTTGTTACCTGAGCTTCCAGTGAAAGCTCTGGGTCGAGGAGCACTCCCAAGCTGCGAACCTTGTCCCTAAGAGGGAGTGCAACCCCATTCAGGACAAGGTTCAATTCACCCTCTCCGAAGCTCGATCCACCAACCAACAGGACCTCCGTCTTGTCTGGATTGAGCTTCAGTTTATTGGCCCTCATCCAGCCCATTACCTCGGCCAGGCACCGGTTCAGTACAGCCACTGCCTCACCTGGATTGGTGGAAAACGAGAGGTAGAGCTGGGTATCATCAGCGTATTGATGGTTCCGCAGCCCACACCTCCTGATGACCTCTCCCAGCAGTTTCATGTATATGTTAAACAGCAAAGGGGACAAAATGGACCCCTGCGGTACTCCATGGCATAGCTGCCATGGCGCAGAGCCATAGTCCCCCAGCACCACCTTCTGGAACCGGCCATTGAGATAGGAGCGGAACCACTGCAAAGCAGTGTCTCCAACCCCCAATCCCGCAAGCCTATCCAGAAGGATACCATGGTCGATGGTATCGAAAGCCGCTGAGAGGTCCAGCAGAACCAACAGGGACGCACTCCCCCTGTCCTTCTCCCTGCACAGGTCATCATACAGGGCGACCAAGGCAGATTCAGTACCGTACCCGGGTCTGAAGCCGGACTGCAATGGGTCCAGATAATCAGTTTCATCCAAGAGTGCTTGGAGTTGTCCCGCCACCACTCGTTCTAACACCTTGCCCAGAAACGGGATGTTGGCCACTGGTCTATAATTAGTGGCCATCTCTGGATCCAGTGACGCCTTCTTCAGGACCGGTCGGACTACCGCCTCCTTCAAAGGGGCAGGCACCCGACCCTCCCTCAGAGAAGCGTTAACCACTTCCAAGATCCAGGTTCCAATCCCGTGCTTGGAATCATTTATTAACCAAGACGGGCAAGGGTCCAAAAGGCAAGTGGTTGGACGTACTCGCCCAAGCACCTTGTCCACATCATCGGGCCGCAGTAACTGAAATTCATCCAATAAATCTGGACCAGACGGCAGCGTTGGTGTCTCCTTTGAAACCTCTGAATCAATAGTGGTGTCCAGCTCGTGACGAATCTGAGCGATTTTCTCCCTGAAATGCCTGGCAAAGTCGTCACAGCGGGCCTTTGAGGGTGGAATCAGGTCTTCCTTTGGACCTGGACGGACCAGGCCTTGCACCACTCGAAAGAGCTCCGCCGGACGGCATTGTGAGGAGGCAATGGAAGCGGAAAAGAATCTCTTTTTTGCCGCCCTCACCGCCACAGCATAGGCCCGATAGTGGGCTCTTAAGTGTGTTCGGTCAGATTCATCTCGTGATTTCCTCCACCTACGCTCTAGTCGTCTCCCAACCTGCTTCAGTAACTTCTTCCTAGTTACTGATGCAAAGATTTTAATGGTGACCAGGAGTACTTTTTCTCAGCATAGTTACTCCTGCTCCTAGAAGCATCTGGTCTGGCCATGGTGACACATACTTTAATTACATCTCCCTTGGACTACTGCAGTAAACGCACTGCAGGGCTGCCTTTGAAGACTTGGGAAATTTCTGTTGGTTTAGAGCGCTACAGCCTGGTTGCTGGCCAGGGCAGCTTATAGGGAGTAGCTCACTCTCTTGTTAGAAGTGCTTTACTGGCCCTTGCTCCATTTCTAGATATAGCTCAATGTTCTGGCTATCACTTATAGAAGCCCAAAGGCACAATCCTACCGGACTGATGCTCTTCAGACAGATGGGTGGAGCCCTTCATCCATCCAAAGGTTTGCCTGCCATTCCAACCTTTAAAATCTTTCTCAGCTAGACTGGCCTCACAGCCCACCTACATGACACACCTTGCTTCATGTCATGCCACCAGTGGAGGAAACCACTCAGAGAGGCCTCAATGGGACCCAGGTTGCATTTATTTGCAAGGCCTACATACCACTACAGACTACACTCCAGTATGGAGACTTTGGAGCTGGGCACAATAGAAGATAAACCACAATGTGTTAGCTACAAGATCAGTAACATTTTATCAATACATAGGTGGCAGGCTAGACCAAGACATCCTCCTGAAGCTGAAGTGTTTTCAGGAGGCAAAGCAATACAATTGCTTTGTCTTGTCTTGTACAGGCACCTACCTAATGTACAAGCACCTACCTGACTTCTGAGGAGGTGAAGGAGTCCCTGAGAAATGGTGCTTACCACACTGAGGGCTCTTCACCTGGTGGACTCATCAGTCTGTAGGTCCATGTGGAAGAGCTAGTAATATCCCACCTTTTTGCTTCTTGTGAGGAACCCAAGGGGGCTTACATAGCTCCATTCCAACCTCACAACAACAACCTGGAGAGGTAGGTTGGGCTGAGAGTCTGTAGCTGGCCCAAAGTCGCCCAGGGAGCAACATGGCTGAGTGGGGGCTAGAATCTAGATCTCCCAAGTCCCCAGTCCAGCACTCTTACCACCATGCCACACTGGGTCCCTTTATGGTAATGCTGCTTCAGCTGCCTTTTATTAGCCAGGAAGGGCTCAGCTTGAGGGGGCAAGTGGTTGGTCACATCACTGCAAGCACTGCAAGCCCACTTCGCTGGGCACATCAAACTGAAATGGATCCCACACATTGGACAGATGGTGACATCAGGCACCTCTGCTGGAGCTGTGCTAAGCACACAAAGTGCAGTGCAGAAAGATCACACTTTGTCTTAGACAGGAATGGGATCCAGTGCATTTCTGAGTGTTCTCGGGGATTTTCCACTGCCCCAGTCTCCCTGTGGAGCAGTGAGATGAGGAGGGCTCGCCATGTGCCCACTGGCTGATAGAGCCTGCTCCGCTCCCCAGCTCCATCTGCCAGGGAGTTGCCGACCAGTCAGAAGAGCCCCACACAATGGCAGGTGCAAAGTAAAGCTTCTTTGCTGCTGATGCTGCCACACTATGGGAACAATTACATTCTCCAGAGCATGTTTGGTCATCTTCACTTTGAGTCGTGTAGTGTTTGCACACATCTAGTCTGTTTCATTGTCTGCAGCCCCCAGCACAAAGACATCCATTGGATTCCATCAGTCCTATGCGGTGGTCTCTCACCCCCAGAAGCCTTCAGTTCCCATCCCATCACTGCTGGAGCAACGTCATCTGATGAGCTCCTGCATTCCTGACCTTGCTTACTGCCTTAGCCTCTGTGCCCTTGATTGCTTGACCTCTCTTGGGACTGCATTTGTATTGGACTGCTCACTTGTGCTTTAATCTTGGCCAGGCCTCAGACCTTTCTCTAGAAATCCTCCCTCTTGACTGGTGACACTGAGTTCCTGACCCTTGCCTGTGCTGACTGCTCTTACCAGAATGGCCCTTATGTTAAACTGATTCAACCAACCAAGCTTAACCTTTTCCTGTTTACTGGCTTCTTGGGCTTGCCCTAACACTGGGCCTGAGTCAACCATTAACAGGACACTGTAAGTGGGAGAGGTGATGAAGAGCCTTGTGGACCTCTTCACCTACTATCACATATCTCTTCCTTCCTCCCATCTTCTGCTGAGGTTGCAACAGTAACCTAGAAAAGGAAGTCACTGTGGAGCTTTCCATGGCACCTGAGAAGAGAAAATCTCCTGAATCCCTCCCTCCTTCCAGGTGACAGATGTGAATGCATTCTGGAGTAGGGAGGGGGAGAATCCACAGCATCCTTTGGTTCCTGGTATGCCCTCTTGGGGACCATAGAATTGCCTTTGAAATAGCTCAAGATCAGATTACCTGAAGGCCTATCTCCTTTATTACAAGACTGTCCAGGCACTGAGATCTTCTTGAGAGGGCTTTTCTAAATGAGACATTTATTGTGCATTCCTAATCCCTCACTCACAGAAGTTTTCTGGCACATTTTCAGCATCTCAACCATTTTGTGGCTTTTTTAGGGGAAAGAAAGTCTCTTAGTTTGCTAAATGGCACTATTATTCATCCCAGAAGTGTGTTCCTGCAATTCCAATCTATACTGTAGTGCCACCTTGTGTTCTGTGATGGAACATATAGGAATGTAAAAAAGGCAGAGAAGAAAACCCCTGTGTGAGCAGAGGGAACCTTATGTGAAGGACATGAGGACTAAGAAGAAGGCAGAAGATGAAACGTTGCTAAATCTTGGCTATATGCATCATATAGAGAAGTCCTCAGTCTTACCAATGTGCTATGTATGTGGGGCTGGAACTTGAGAAAGGGAAGACTGTGAAGCTTTTTACCAAGGGAACCTCATCTAGCTACACTGTCAATGGTCTTCTGCCAGGAGCAATTCTTTTTTTCTTGTTTATTTAAATAGGTGTTTGCTTTCCATGCTTTGTTTTCTCTGATGTGTTTTAATGTATCTATGTTTTAACTATCTATTGTAAACTTTGTTGGAAGGCTTTATATTGTTTGTTGTGCCACTTTTTTACTGTTAATTTTACTGGTCTTAGGCATAGTGGGCATATTTAATGGAAAGATGGGATACCAATGTCTTTCAGATTTACTCATGGCAGGCTTATGATGATCTTCGTTGTATGCAGAGAAAACTAGGAAAATGCTTCTTCCTAGTGGTTATTTGCCCACCTACTTCTCTAATCTTTTTTCTACCCGTGGAATGGAAACATGTATTTTTGAAAGCCATTCTTCATAATGTAGTTTGGTAAGATCCTAGCTATGAGCTTCTTGTCCTCCTCCCTGTGGCCTGCCTGTCACACTGAGTGGAGTCAAGAATGCCATAATTGTGGCCAGAATGGTCACTGCAACCAGGAGTCCCCTTAACCACCACAAACCAACATCCCACTGCTTCACCAGTGCAACTAATGCCATTCTCACACTGGTAAAAAGTGCCACACAGGGAAATGAACACAGATACCAGACAAAGCTCTAGGAAGTAGAGAGGTCATCCTAGCTTGTGGAGGCAGCATCATTGCAGTTTCATCATAGTGAATCAACTCACTGAATGATAATTTTTACTCGTCTGCCATGCAAAGGCAATGCCCTGTTTCTAACACAAACAAAGGGTGGTCTTACCAGGGCTGGGGAGGAATACGGAAAGTGAATGTACAGAAATCTCAACCCATTCTTAAAGTTTTGGATGATGACCTGGATACTTATGTGAAGGAGGAAGAAGCAGGGTCTCAAAATCCCAGCTCAGAAAACCCCACGCTGAAGTATTCCTAAAAGGCACTGCCAAAAAGGCACCGATCCCAAAATGGGATGGAGTGGAAAAGAAGAAATTTCCCATCTCTGTTCTGTTCTTAGATTCTAGAAGCATTCTGCTAATCCCAAGTTAAAGATCATGTTCAGTGCCTCACTCTTTCTAAGCCTGTGGCAGTTTGCATGCCCAAAGAAGCAGTTTACCAATTAAATTAAAATAACTTGAAGGGAGGAAGAAAGGTTCTGCTACAGTAACCACGCACTTGAAGGAAATGCAAGACTGGGCCCTTTGCAAATAACAGCAAGATTTGTTGACTTCATCTGGGGACTTAGCTGACTTTATATGTTTTCATATGAGCATCCAATATTGCCTGGCTTTATTACTGTTTTCATCATATGTTATGTTCTTTGACCAAAATATACAAATGAAAATCTGGACTTCTAGGTCCCAAAGGAAGAATTACAAGGATCCAAGTTTTGTTTTTAAGCATAAAACTTATATTTTCTCTCACTGCACATCTTTTTGTATGTCTCAAGGTATGGAAATATAAATTGATTGAATGGAATTTGTTACCCATTTTGCTTCATATGTATTCCAGTGTGGCTCTGAAACTTTTATTTTAGAAATAAGCAATTTCTTATGTACTCAGTGTAGTATTTTGCATTTCTGTGTTTACTTGCGGAGTTTGTTAGAGGTAGATTTTCTTAAGAGATGGTGGGGTGTACCAGCAACTTTTTTGTTTGGGAAGGGGACTGTTGTTTTAGGGACAAATTTGGCCCAATGTTCTACAAGAACAGCTTACCCCCAACCTGATCTTTTGGAAGAGATATCTTGAAAATTTAATGCCTCACCCTTTTAAAATCCTGTATCCTTGGATCAATGAACTAGAGTGTCATTCCTCACCCAAGCACCTTCCAGATGTGTTGGGCAACACATCTTCTTGAATCCTATGTGGAAGTCACTTAGGGCACCCAAGTATCTTGGGCCAGTCCTTGTTAACATTTTCTGAGGACTGGGTGGGGGACCAGTTAGAGATAAATTAAAACCCGGTTCTACTCACTCATCTATATCCAATAGTGTTGTATCAGCTCACCAGAATGAACTTTTCTCCTGTTTAGCTTCACTTAATAAGCTTGACGATGATTACGACGATGGTGGTATGGTCATTCCAATGGCTCAGGCGAGTCAGTGGAAGAAAGAAGAGACACTGAAAACCTTGCCTGTGGAAGAAAGCAGAGACACTGACAACCAGAAAGGTACCGAAATTATTAGTGTCTGGTCTTGTTTAGCTTACACAGACTGTACTATTGAGCTTTCATTAAGCACTATGACCAAAATGGTTATGAGCATTTTATTCATTACGGTATGTGAGACATCAGAGCTCAGCCAGCTCCCCCAACATGGTGTCCTCCATATGTCTTTGCTCCCATCAGCATCTGCCAGCATGGCCAGTAGTCAGCAATGTTGGACGATGCCGTTCAGAACCTGCGGAGGGCACTTGGTGGGGAAATGCTAAGCTAAACCATTAGCAAGCCTTGAGCCTTGGGGGATCCTGTCTCAGCAAAAGAGACCATTGTGGTTCTATGTAGTCCTTCACGGCTAAAATGTCCATCAGCAGCTTTTTCCATGAATGGATGTAGCTCAGTGGTGGCGAACCTATGCCACATGTGCCACCGCTGGCACGCAGAGCCCTCTCTGCCAGCTCATGCGCCAAGTCGCCCCAGCATTGCCCCAGCAGCCGAGCATTGAATAACAGTGCGCAAAGGGGCCATGCGCATGCTCGGAAAGGAGTAGTGGTGCCAGGTGATTACGTCACAAGCCGCAACACATTAGTCGCGACTCATCCGAGCTTTCACATGGCTGGTCAGTGCACTACCAAGGATTTTTTTTCCTTGGATGGACTGTTTTCAGGGTTTATTGCAGTGTTGGCACTTTGCGATATATTAGTGGGTTTTGGATTGCAGTTTAGGCACTCAGTCTCTAAAAGGTTCACCATCACTGGGTTAGGATTAGAAAAACGAGGTGTCCTGGCATGATTTTGATGGTTGGAATGTGTTTAGAATGGGCAGAAATGATGAGCTGTGCAGAAAAAGATACTCAAGGAAGGCTTTTTCAAAATTGCCCCTTTCAATGGTATCTTACCCCTATATTAGGTTTAGGGGAGCGCACCAGGCCAGTGGTGGTGAACCTATGGCATGTGTGCCACAGCGGGCAAGCAGAGCCCTCTCTGTCGGCATGCGAGCCAAGTCGCCCCAACATCACCCCAGTAGGTGAGATCGGATAACCACACACCTAGGGGCCATGCGCATGCTCGGAAAGGAGTAGCAGTGCCAGGCAATGACGTCATGTGCCACGACGCAATAGCCACATCTTGTCTGAGCTTTCGCATGGCCGGTCAGTGCACTGCCAAGGAGAGAGGGCGGGGGGGAGAGAGAGAGAGAGAGAGAGAGATTTGCTTGGACTGACTGTGAGCTGTTTTTCCTAAACCAAAACCTAAGTTTTCAGGTTTTATTGCAGTGTTGGCACTTTGCGATAAATAAGTGGGCTTTGGGTTGCAGTTTGGGCACTTGGTCTCTAAAAGGTTCACCATCACTGATGTAGCTAATTGCTTTTAAAACCACCTGAGCATGTGGACATTGCCACATCTTGGTGTTGTGAAGCCCATAAAATTGGTTGGGTCAGGTTAATCCCATTGATTTCAGTGGGACTAAAACATGATGAACTTATCCTAGACAACAACATAGAGGCAGGGGGAGAGATGCCCCCTGTAACAGATTTCAGCAGGAACTTTTTTTTTTTGGTTAACATTCAATCTGAAGAAGATTGTTAAAGAATGCAAATATTTGCTCGTCTTTTTGTTATTACTCTGAGAGCCTCTTGGATTGTTTCTAATGAACCAATGTGATTTTAGTACGCTATTTAATTTGAATGCTCTCTTTCTGTCTCTCTGTAAAGTTTTTCCAAGCTAAACAACTTTTCTTCCTAGCTTTCCACTGTACTTCCTATTTTGTTAGGAAATATTATATTTGCTTCTGATAATGTCCATGATTTCTCTGACACCATTCACTGCTTTTCTTCAATGACCATTTTCCATGAGCTGCCTATTTCTTTAGAAAGTCTGCAAATTGCTTCCTTGATAGTGCTGATTCTATTTACTGCTTTGGAGAAGTGGTTTCTCTGCAATGAAAATATTCTTTCATTTCTTGACAAACAGGCTTGGGAAACCAATTCACACTTCTCTTTAGATAGAAGAACTGTGCTGAATCAGTCCTTTCTCATTCCGCACATTTTCCTCAGTGGCAAACCAGTTGCTTCTCAGATGACCACAAACCAAACGTGTGGACAACAGCCCCCCGCCCCGTAAATCTTTTCCAACAACAGGCGGCTCCTGCCACTTTGTCTTAATCAGGGGTTAATTCCAGGGGCAAACCTGATGTGCTTCCTAACCTTGCCGATATGGTTGTGGCTGAGACACACATTTTATTGAGACCACTCTGTGTGGGGTGCAGAAGTTCAATCCTTCCATCCTTAGCAAAGATCCCAAGGGCAACCCTGTCCCAGGCATCGCACTGAACCTGGGGTGTGGGGATGGGAGAGAAGCTGTAGTCTGCAGAGAGGAAGTTTCCCTTTGAGATTTCTACTGGGAGGGAAAAGTTGAAGCTCCCTTCCCCATTAACTGTGGTTCTGATTTAAAAATGGCCCTCCCTGGTACTTAATGGTTTGTTTTGTGTTGTTTTGAAACCAAGACATGCTGATTATGCAATGAGAATGAAGTCTGCCTTGGTCCTCTTTTATGTATGTATTTATAACTTTTCTATACTGTCCTCTTACCAAAGAGTCTCAGGACAGTAAAACAAGGTAAAGCACAGCATCATTTCTATACAATAAAACCCCAATTATTTGTTTTTTGGCACCAGGCTAAGACCTTTTTATTTAAAACTTATTTTAATTGTTAATTTATTATGTAGGGTTTTTTTTTTTAAAAAATTAAGCCGAGATGCACCGAGGTTTTAATATTTTTATTGTATAATTTTTATATGCTTTTGTTTGTTTTTGTTGTGAGCTGCCCCAAGGCTTTGTTGCCATGGGGGTGGCATAGAAATGTTTTAAATAAATAAATAAATTAGAATATCAATTTAAACCTTAAAATACTGGGAACATAGACAGCAGCATTGCTTACCCGTGTGTTTCCTGGTCTGCTGACAAGCCAGAATCCCTTCATGGTCAGTATAAGCTTTCCAAATTCAAAAACCATTGTTTAAGAGGAACAATGATTAATTGGCTCATGCTATGTAGGCCAATCAACCATGCTGGAACCTTCTGACTGTTAAAGTTTCAGGCTTGTCTTCTTTTCCTTTCTTTTCTTTTCTTTTCCTTTCTTTTCTTTTCCTTTCTTTTCTTTTCGTTGTATACATTCTTCTACTAAATAAAATCTACATAAATATTACTTTGGTGCTTTTTTCCAGCCTTGTGCTGTTGTACATAGGTGTATTAGAAGTGCAGAACCTCTTTCAGCCCAAGGGCTACATTGTCCTTGCGCTCACAGAATTTCAAAGAAGCTCTCAGGGGCCATATTCCAGAGGTGGGTGGGGCCAAAGTTAGGGTAAAAATTCCAGAAAACACTAGCATATTTGAGCTTAAAGCACTGATTGCCAGTAACTAAAGTTTAGACATGGCATTTCTACTTTTTAGAATAGGGAGAAAACTGCACAACAGCAAAGAAGCCACCCGAAAAAGAGGGGCAGGGTAAGGGTTTGTGGCTAAGCCCTGGAGGGCAGGATTTGGCCCCTAGAGCTGAGGATCTGCACCTTGTCTTACAGCTTGACGTCTTTCCACAAAATGCAATCAGTTACTATTACAGTTTATCTTCTAGGACATTAAGTACATACATATTTCAATCATACACTTGCAACAGATTGCATCTTTTTATAAGCAAGAACACTTGTATTGTTTTCCAGCGAAAAACATTTCTAGGATATGAAGAAAGGTCCTATTTGCCCTAAAAATGGATGGAAAAGCTGCTGGGTGTGTTGAATTTTTAAGTGAGGGAACTGGCTAAGTCCTCATCAAGATCAGGACCACAAAGCTGTTTTTGTTTCCAAAAAGATATGTGGCCAATTGCAAACTTGTGGTTAAAATATGTGCTTAAAGTCATATCCAGTCTGACCTTTACCTAGCCATTTTACCAGTCAGAAGAATGTATATTCTTTTTATATTTTGCTTTACTTATGAAAGTTAATCCTTTATTCAAATGTCAGTCCAAGGAACATATCCTGTTTTAGGTTAGGAAAGCACAAGCCAGTCCTGCAAACATTTCTGGATCCTATCCAGTTTTCACAGTCCCAGCTGCCAGTCAAGCAATCTGCTTCTCAAAATCGTTTCCAGCTCACCATTCTTGGAATACAAAAATGGAATCTCTTCCCAGAAGAAATTGCCCTGTTTCCCTCGGAAGTGTTTGTTTAACTCTTACAAGAGCAAGCCGGCCAATTCCACTCATTTTTTTCACTCTTAAGGAACGCTCTTGTCCTGAGGCTTCTCTCTGAATCTAGCCTTCTAAAGCTCTCAGAGGATCCATCCTCTCTATTGAAAGGTTCTCAGACACAAAACTTTAGAATTTAGATCTTTGTAGTCTCTCAGCCACCTACTGGCATCTATTATGTCTATTACATAAGTCCAATCTCATTAATTTGAACATGTGGGATTTAAATAGTAATATATTCTTAACCAGCTACTTTGGATAACCTCTCAGGTTTTAAACATTTATATCTTACAGTTGTTTCACTGTGTATAGATCTCTTCCAATGATTACTTCTGCTACTGTGTACAGCCAGCAAGAATCTCTCTGAGCTCAAAAGGGATCAGCTGCCAGACAAGCCAAGCCATAATTCTGTCTGACATGCAATTCTGTAAAGAACAGTGAACTTTATAAAATGGTGTACTTTACAATGCCTTGGGGGCAAGGAACCATATAGATCAGTAAAAGGGCACATGCTTTGCATATACAAGGTCCTACCTTCAGTTCTCGGGAGACTGCTGCCTGAGTCCAAGGTTGCCTGGCCTCATTCACAGAAATTTTAAGTGGGGAGTCCAGGCAACCATGCCTTCCACTGAGAGCTGGCCACCATTAGGTAGAGTGAGGTGGTCACTCAGGAAGTAGATGCTGGGTGGCAGCCACCTACTCTGTAACCTAGCCTGCTGCCTTCTGGTGCAGTGAACAAATTGAAAGAAGTTTCCTATTTATATTGCAAGGGGGCACGGTCTTGTTCCCCCCCGCCCCGGCAGCCAAATGCCTTGGGCTGTCCCTTCTTCCACATGTAACCCTCCCCCACCCCCATATTTTCCCACTGTTTCTTCCATCTGTCCTCCTCCTACACAAACCACACCAAGGAGGGAAAGATTGAAAAGCTGCACACACCTTCCCACTGATAGTGCAAGACCCCCCTATCCCCATGATGTTGCCAGCCAGTCCTGGGCGGGATCAATGAACACACAATCTGACATGGCATACGGCAGCTTCTGCACAGTTTTTTGCTCCGCAGAATCCCTTGGATCCTCATGATCCTAAAAGGGGCAATAAGGCTCAGGATCCTTCAAGTTGCCATCACTGCCTTCCTCACTTTTATCCTGGGCTCAAGGTGATTCCATTAATGTTTAAATCATGTACAGAAACCACCAGTGCCATTCCCCCAAGAATATTGTTTTCTGTGTTTCTGATACCCTCTTCATGGTTTATGAGTTTTTGTATGTGAGGCATTTGTTGTGTGCTCATCAATTCCACTTATGGTTGATTATGGGCTCTTTAGGCAGTGTTGCAATTCTCCAGTTTCCCTCTATTTTTTATAAGTTTTAATTTTTTTTTGATAACAGGGAACATGGGGTATTATATTAGGAAAATGGAGCTGTTTTGTATCATTCATTAGAGCTATTTTGCTATAGCATAGTCCTGCCTAGAAGTTATGTAGCAGAAAAGCAGGGGAAAAAAGCTGTCTGCCCAGAGCTCAGCTCTCAATGCTGTGATGTTGCTGAAAGCAGGTACAGTGGATTAACAGCCATTTAACAGCCCCCTGCATCGAAGTTCTACATATGCTTCTCTCCAATTTACAACTCCTCTCCACAAGCTTTGCCCTGGATCTGATATGGGCAGGCTTCCAGCATGTGGAATTTATTTTGTTTGTAACTGCCATCTGAAATGTCCACCAGTGGGATACATGTGCAAAGGGTGAATTGGGCTGCATGAAGTTAGATGCAATATGTTGCCTGAGAGAGGTGCAGTGCCCATCAGAGCAAGATGTACTGGGAGCAAGTACAAATTTTCATCTGAGTTACTACAGACTGGAAGTTCTAACACGCCTCTTTGTTTTGCCAAGGAAAACTTGCCGATCCACTGCAAATTATCAAAGATCTGCCAGCAGATTCCAGTCTACCTTCTAGACCAGTGGTTCCCAAATTTATTTGGTCACAGAAACTTTTTGATGACATTTTTTCCCCACAGAACCCTAACTCTCTCCGATTGTTACCAAGTATTGTGAACCCACAATGTTCTTCCTTCTTTCATCTGTTCCTATTGCCTGAGTGCTTTGCATAATGTAGTAGTTTTGGAAATAAAGAGAAAACATTTTAAATATAATGAATATATAAAGCAATTACATGGTAATATCCCAAATGAATTCTTTCGATTATTCAGAACACTATGCAATAGAGTCCTAGGATCCAAATGATGTGACGCATTTCCTTGTTTGCTGCTTGGACACCAATTTGACAATCGAATAATTGGCCTCATGTAGTTTCATTTTAAAATCCATTTTATATTTGGTTTTGGAACCACTACGAGGCTTTTGAGGAACCCTAGGGTTCCACAGAGCACTGTTTGAGAACCACTGTTCTAGAAACTCCTGCTCTAGATACCCATACATCCCAAAGAGAAAGGAATCCAGAGTAAGGCCTTTAGAACACCACTAAAATCTGTGACTGTTCAGCACAGATCAATAACTGTTATACCACTACTTAACCCTCTAGTTTATATAAAACTGTGAGCCTCTGTTTCTTAGTATAGATTCTAAATTATTATCTCTGGCACATTATTCATTTTAATACATGGCCTTTGGTATTATTTTTAGGCTGAACAGGATTTGAACTTAGAGAGTAGACAAACAGAATGAAAAACAGTCTAATTTCTCAGAGTCTTAATTCTCCACCAGTTCCTGTTTCAGCTCTGCTTTTTTTCCCAGATAAGGTAACCTCACTTGGGCAGAAAGAAAGTTTGTGTCTCTTCCCTAGTATCAAGGTATCTGGCAGCAGACACATTTACCTGTGCAGGGCTGTCCTTGACTCCTACCCTCCACATTTACTAGGCATGATATGTTACCCATTTAAAAAGGAAAGCTAATGATCTGTTCTTCTTAGTAAACAATCTGACCACTGCAAATGATTAAATGATCCACCCATCTTCTTTTTCACAGCTCCTTCCTTCTCTGCGCCTGCACAAGCAAAAATCCACTCAAGCCTGTGTATAATCATTCTGTTTGTCCTGGTCATCATATCCTTAGCGATGTCAGTGGGAGTCCTTTCTTGGTTCCTGATGAAGAGTAAGTGATCCCTCTCAGACAAAACGACTCAGGACCTGCAGGGTTCAGCTGGGGAGGAACCACGGCTTGGCAGCAGAGCACATGCTGAAAGCCCCATGTTTGATCCCCAGCTTCTCCAGGTAGGGAAAGAAAAAAATTCCTGCCTGCAGAACCACTGTCAGTCTGGGTCATCAGTACCAACCTAGGTGGACCAAAGTTCTGGCTCAGTATAAGGCAACTTCCAAGGTATTTTATTTACTTATTTTAATTAAAACTTTTATATGTCGTCCTTTATGTATGACATCCCAGGACGGCGTACAGCATTAAAATCCAAATCCAATAAAACAATCAATATTACAATATAATAAAACAATATATAACCAATACAAATAATCAAATCAAAAGTGACTGTTAAACATTAAAATACTAATTTTTAAAATGACGCTTAAATAAAAAGGTTTTGATCTGGCGCCAAAAATATAGACTCATGCCAGGCAAACTTCCCTGGGAAGTGCATTCCACAATCTGGGCGCCACCTCAGAGAAGGCCCTGCTCCGAGTAGATGTCCTTTTTACCGCCTTCGGGGAGGGTTCCTGGAGCAGGGTCTCTTCCGCAGATCTCACAGATCACAGAAGGTAACCCAGGATTGTGACCACAATGCCCCTGTGTGGTGAACTGTACACCAGAACTTCTCCCTAGGCTTTGAACCACTTAACTTTTTATCCTATAAGCACCTAATTCCTGATTCTTATTTGACAGCTGTTCATGGCTTAGATCTAATGGCTATTTAAAGGATTCCTGGAAAAGTTTCTTATCTGTTTCCAATTTTTTCAAAAATCCCATACATCCCTTTGTCAAATACTTTGCCTTAGAGGCAACTACAAAGAAATGCATCCCAAGAGGCAGGTTTACTCATCACTCCAACCCACGCTGGCAAGAAGTCACGGTGGGCTGGTTGTTCTGCAAACATCCTGAGGTCTCCCAGGCAGAGGAGTGATCTCAGCATGTGCTGGTTGCTCCCTCCCTCTCCTTGATTCTCCAGGTGCCATCCTAGGACAGGCAAGAACCTGGCAGGACTGAACTGTCTTTCCCTCCCTGCCTCAATCAAAAGCTGTTTTCAGCTCCCTGCAGCTTTTTGACATTTCCAGCCTTTTTGACTTCACCTCTGCCCATTTCAACTGAAACAGCAAGTCGTAAGAAAGGACTGGGGAACAAAGCGCTTGCCCATGCGACAATCTGTTCAACACAGGGATGAGGATCATCAGGAGATTCATGGGGAGATTATATTTCAAAGCAAAGCTTATTGTAACAACACAACAAAGAATAGGAAAGCCATTTTTTGAGATCACTCTTGTTTCTTCAGACGTTACACCATCAGAGGAACTGCAGGGCCTACATCTGAACAACTCGGAAATGCTCGCAAGAGGTAGGTACTATGGCTCTTTGATACATGTGTGACTTTACTTCTCTTATGAAAGGCACTGGTTCGGGTGAGAGCAGCAATGAGGAACAGGTGTGCTGCCAGTTGGTGCTGGAAGCCCTTATAGAGTGATGTGCGAGGTTTTAGACCTGAGATAGGGAGCCTTTAGCCTGTGGGCTGCATGCAGCCTATGGAGGCTCCCTATATGGCCCACGGGGGTTTCCCTCCCCAATCCCACTGCTTCTCCACAGAAGACCACCTACTATTTCCCCTTTCTACATGGGTGAGGCAAGCCAGATGATGTTAGAGTAGGGCTTTCAGAGTTAAAGTCCCACCTTTGTCATCATCTAGCCAACCTCCTTGGTCCAGTGTGTGTTTGAGAGAGAGCAGTATCTGATCTCCAGACCAAACTCTACAGGTAAAACAATGATCTGTTTTAGCCATTCCTACGTTTTTGCCAGACACTAACTTTGCACATACATATATCCACAAATCTGAGTGTGTTTCCATGTGTAAAATACTAGTAACATACACAACATGCACAGGAGTTGATAATACTGGTTGTGGTAATATGTGAATGGAAAGAGCACCTGGTCAAAATTAAACAGCATCTATGGATGCTTTAAAGCAGTGTCAGACTGAAGCACAGACCTCCATTATTTCCAGAGCAGCAGGGTTACTTTACACTTATTGGCAGCTTGGCATCATGGATTCCATTCTTTTATGGCCCATTTTCTTCATTTCCATAGCTGATCCTTCATGAAGTAATTTCCATCCCACAAGAACATTTCAGATTCAGGCAATTTTAAATGTTGGTGAGATGTGAATAAGAATCCCTAGTGCCGGGTGCTTTTCTCTGGCATCACAACTGAAACCGGAACCATTTTCCATCATCATCATCATCATCATCATCAGGAATTATTATTGCATTATCATTATTAGTAGTAATTATTACTACTATGGCTGTTGCTACGGTAATTACCTGCATTGGCAACTTAATGGCACCACCTCAGTGCTGTTTGTGTGCATTTTGAATTGTCTTTCAGTGAAGGAGGATTTAGATGATTTAAAAGCAGCACAGAGCATGCATGAAAGAACAATAAAGGACAGGTTCAGTGAACTGCAGGACATGACAGGTGAGACACCATTGGGCAGGGTCTGTATCTGGATGATTTTTCTTCTTGTTTGATCACCTTGGGGTAGAAAACATGAGAGAAACCCAACTCAGGGTCAGAATCAGGCTGGGTCATTAAGAGGGCAGACACAACTGGCACAATTCCTTCTTACAACACAGTGTAGTGTTGGAAGAAGGGGTGAACAGTCTGCTGATCAAATTTGCAGACGATACTAAAACCAGGGCAGTGGCCACAACTGAGCAGCAGGTACTCCAGATCCAAAAGGATCTGGACAGACTAGATGGCAAGGAGTTAAGTGACAATCCTGGAACAAAGTGAGTGGCAAACTTTCAGCTGGCTGGCTGGCTGTTTTTCTTTAGACTTTTATTCAGAATGTATGCTTTTCAAGTTCATCTATTTGCTACTAAATTTCCAAACTAAAGAAGAATTAGATGCAGCACAAAGGTCAAGCATTTAATAGCTGTTCTGATCATTGACCTGCTTTGTATTGTGGTTGATGGTTTTCCACTCAGGGTTTGTGGCAACCAAGCCTGCACTAAAACTGACAGATTAGAGGGGTTAAATCTGGACCTGGGGGGAGGGGGGAATGGTTAAGTCAGAAGTCTCACTGAGCCTGTTGCTTGAGGGTGGGGGGGCTTGCCAGTCACCAACCTCCTTGGCAAGCTTTGGCTTTTGGCGGCACTGCTGTAGCCACTGCTGTAGCCAGAATGGAGTGCAGTTGGCTTGGGCACAGGACACCATGGGGAGTCTGGGAACCGAGAGCCCTCAAGTCTGGTCTGTTTCCATGATATGTAAGAAGCAGTGCCCAGAAGGAGGCCTCGGTGTTCAACATGCTTTAGAGGGCAAAACTGAAGCCAGAATCAAATGCAAATCCACTGCAGTCTCTAGGAAGGCAGGTCATCTGTGAAATGCAATTGCTAGACACCTGTGTGTGCACTGAAGTCTCCAGATAGGGTGAATTTGGATGGCACCTTAATCCTGGGAGGGCTACACAGCTGCCCAGGGCTCCCAGATGTGTCTCACTATTGGTCAGGGACAGCAGGGTCTAGGTGCATGCCACAGGAGAACCAAGGGGAGCAGGGGTGGCTGGTGCCAGGAGCAGTCATGTTCTTTCTTTCTTTCTTTCTTTCTTAATTAATTAATTAATTAATCAATTAAAACATTTTTATGCCACCCCATTCGCCAAAGCCTCGGGGCGGCTTACAACAATAAATTAAAATAATTATAATCTTAAATTAAAATTTAAACATTAGATTAAAATACAAAAATACAATATAAAATAAGCCACCCTGGCCAGATAAAATTCAATAATATTAACATTTAAAATGCCGCTTGAATAAAAAGGTCTTCGCCTGGCGCCGAAAAACAAATAACGACGGCGCCAGGCGGACCTCTCTGGGGAGCGCATTCCATAACTTAGGCGCCACCGCAGAGAAAGCCCTCCTCCGAGTACCCACCCTCCTAATTTCTTTCACGGAGGGCTCCTGGAGAAGGGCCTCTCCCGCCGATCTCAGGGGGCGGTTGGGCGCAGGGAGGAAGGTCAGATGAGGGAGGCATGAGCCATGCAGCACTGCACTAGCCTTCCAAGCCCCACGCAAGGCAACCAGTTGCCACTGCTTGTTGGAGCACCCACAGGTGGCAGAACACTCATGGCCCGTGCGTCCAACTTGGCTGGGGAGACTGTGCCCAGCCATGACTGCACCACTCAGTGGTTGGGGAGGCAGTGACTTGCAGGGGAAGTGGCTGCTTGGGTCAGCTTTGCTTCCTCTTGAGGAAGGAAGCCAAGCAACTTCTGTACCACCAAAAGGGCTGCAGCTGCAGGCAGGGGTGCAGGCACCCCTGGGCGTCTTCCTTGGAGGGGGAGAAGAGCAAGGATGTGAAGCCAACTCAGGGAGGCAAAGCCTCGCAGCTCCCTTCTGCCTGCTGCTGTAGCACTCTTGGCAGTGGCAGGTGGGAGGTCATGGCATGGCTTCAGTGACGCAGGGGGGAGCTGAGCTCAGCCAAGCCCCCACCCCATGCACTGCCTCAGTACAGGCTGAGAGGGCAGCATGTGGCAGAGGGCCCTGGCTTTGCCTCCGTCTTCCTGGTAATGCTGGGAGAGCAACAGCATGTGTGTGCAATCCTGTTTTCCAGGCATTGCTAGGGATGTGTGTGTTGTGGGGGCAGGGAGCCCATGACAATCACCAGCTACCCTTTTTTGCTGCTCTTCACAAAATACTCTTTTACTTTTTTTCATCTTGACCATGGCTTATTGTGTTGTTTAGATTTGGATAACACAGTAAACCATCCAAGGTCTCCTGAACTCCCCCAAACGTCATGGCTCATTGGGGTGGCTTATAAACCACCCCCCAGAAAGCACAGGAGGAGCGCATGCTAAGCTGCCCCTCAGCGGCCTAGTGTGTCGTACAAACCCGGTCATTGGGTAAAATACGAATAGAGTAATGAACCTGCTTTGCTTTGCAGTCTCGCTTTGTGAAAAATCCAATGTCAGTTCTCCATGTCCTACCAAATGGACAGCTGAAGGGAAGATGTGTTATTTCTTTTCCAAGCAGAAGTATAACTGGAATGATGCTTTTTCATACTGCACTAGTAGGAGAGCTCATTTAGTCAGCATTTGGTCTGATGAAGAAGCGGTAAGTTGCCTGAGCAGCAGCCTTGTTCTCAGTGAGGCACTTGTCCTCAGTGTGGCTGCTGCTGCTGCTTGTACCTCCACTACATCTTGAAACAGTGGGGAAATACATTAAGAAAAAAGGATTGGGGGGGGGGAGAGAGAGAGAGAGAGAGAGAGAGAGAGAGAGAGAGAGAATTGGGGTGGTGCTTCCTTTTTTAAAGCCAGCATTACTTTCCTTGCATTTTTTCCTCTTCCCACACGAAAATTATAGAAAATGCCTCATAGCCTAAACATATCCCAGTGAAAATGGGAAAGTATCTTCAGTTCATGCCACTTTATAAACATTGTCTTTAGCATTCAAAAGATTCCTGAAATGCATTTCAGATGGATTACATTACATGTGGATTACTGCAACGTATCATGTATGCTTCTTTGAAAACCATCTGGAAAATCCAGCTGGTCCAAAATAGAGCATTAACCTTGTTAATTGGGACTAGCTTATACAACCATATTCCACCAGCATTTTGCCACCAAGTGTTCTTCTAGTACATTTCTTGGGCCAAGTGAAAACACTGCTTTTACCCTTCAAAGCCCTAGATAACTTTGGACCAGTTCATTTGAAGGATTTTCTCCTCTCATATATATGTCCTGGACTCTAGGATCATGTTTAAAGGACCTCTTCCAAATTTCCCACCAAATGGAGTGCTGCGAGGATTCCCTGAGAGGGGACCTTCTCAGTGGTAGCACCTTAGCTGTGGCCTGCCTTTCCCAGAGAGGTTCACCTGAAACCTGCATTGCAGTCCATTTGGTGGAAGGTGAAGAATTTTTATTTTACCAGGTGAAACTTCTCCATATTGCCATTTTAGTGCTTTGTACATCTTTTGTATTGATGTCATCCTTTGTGGCTAGTTTTACTTTGGCTATATTCTCTTTCTGATTTTATTCTGTTCAGATTTCATGTTTTATGTTTTGTTTATCTTATGGTTTTACATTCTTACCTGTAAACTGCCCAGAGAACCTTCTTTTTGGGGCAGTATGTAAATACCATAAAAATAAAATGAAAATGCTAAAAATAAACGCAGAGGATAGAGTAGCAGGGGGTATATGGCTTCTTCTAAATGTATCTAAGTATATATAACAACATATTGAATCAGAAGTCACTCTGAGTTTGGTGGAGTTGACTTCTACTTAAATACGTATTTAAACCCATTTTCATTCTAGGCGTTTCTGATCGCTAATCTTGATAAGTCCGCAAAATACTGGTTGGGCTTGACATACTTAGCAAAGGAAAAGAAGTGGCAATGGAAAGATGATGATCAGAGTCTATCAATATCGTAAGTATACTTTGCTTTTTTAATAATTAGAATAAATTGCATTTAATGGTTTCACAATGAACATTCAAAGAGACTTCTTGTTCTACACTGAAGAAATGCAATGGCGGAAATGACCTTTGAGAAATGACTATAAATAACTAGGTTTCAGTATAATGGGATAATTATGTTCTATGACTATGTTGTATCCAGCTTTTTTTCTTTTTTCCTGAGGGTGCAACTATACAAACCTGACAATTAAAGGGGAAGCTCTGTGCTTTAAGGACATGTACTGCAAGGACAAGTACATTGTATCAATAGTGTGCAGCTGTCCATACAATCTTTCAAGAAGTCAAGTACTTCAGTATAATCTTCTTAGAGAAATTCAAGGAATGACAATGAAGAGTTAAGGGGACAGTTGCACAGCTAATGGTTCTGTGTTTAATGCAATCAAAAGAACAACTGGGAAACAACCCTGAGAAGGTCCTCTATGAAGAACAAATTGTTAGGAATCAAGCAATCCAGGTTCTGGTAACTAGGTGGAAGCTGGGTAACTATGGGCCAGTCACAGTCAACCTACCTCACAGGGCTGTGGTTGTGAGGATAAAGTTAGGAGGAGGAGAATGATGAAAACTACCCTGAGTTCCCAGAAAAGAAAAAGGAAGGATATAAAATATGTTCATACATACACCCTGGAAAAAACTTCAGTTTTGTTTTTCATTCTGATAGTTTCCTATTTTTATTGTATTTTACTATTGCTTAAAGGAGACATTCCACTTCTATTGCATTCACTCCTAATCTTTCAGTGAAAATGTTCTTCAGTAGAGGTCAAAGAGTTTGGCTTACTGGAACTTTTAATGACATTATTTTATTTTCTATATTTATTTATACCACATAATAGCTGAAGCTCTGGGTGGTTTAAGCTGTTTTCCTCCAAGATGACATGATGAACTCAATGGAGAAGGCTATTGATGGTTATATGTTGATGACAATTATTATCTGCTCTTTGTTCTAGCTTTTGGAATAAAGGCGAGCCACAGAAGGGTGGTAACAAGAACTGCGCTATCATGCACCCCAATGGGACATGGGCTTCTGCCATGTGTTCCCTTCCTTATCACTGGATTTGTAAAAAGAGGCTGATCTGCTGAAATATAGTGCTGGTCTGCTCATGGAACAGGGCTGAATACAAGCTGCTTTACTTGCTACTGACTCTTTGCCCTGCCCTGCCCTGCCCTGCCCCACCTTGGAATGTGCTTCCACTGCTTCCTGATAGCTAGATAGAAAATAATACCATTTCATCACTGAACAGCCTTATGTTCACAAGTGAAGTATAATCCAACACCAGCCCATAAAAGAATTCATAGGCTGGTCATGTGGCAGCTGAAACCAGCTGCTGCCCATATGTAGTCTCAGGGAACATATGCCCCAGCCCTCTCATGCCTAGGAGGTCCCACAGTCACCCCTATCAAAGACTTGAATGGGGAAAAGCCTTGGAAACAGAGCCAAAGCACAGGAAAACGTCAGGTGAACATTCCTGCAGACGGGTGCCCACAGATGCTCTCCTCCCTGCAGGAGAATAACAATTTCACTGGGATGATTTTTATCAAAGGCATGGAGGGGAAGGGGTAACACTCAGCACTGTGCAGAAGCATGTTCCCAATACAGCTCCTGCCATGTCCACATGCTCTCTAAATAATAAAAAATGTGGGTTTCTCTGTTGTGTGAGCCTAGCTGTACCAACAAATCATGGTTTGCTAACCACAAACAACCCACAGTTCACAACCCAACAAGAAGCTATGGGTTCTCTTTCTGGGTTGTTCAGGATTAACAAACAACAGTCTGTTAGCATGGGTGAGTTCTCACTGCACAACAACCTACAACTTCACATCAAGCCACACTCAACCTATACTTTGGCTTGTCTTGTTGTGTCAACCCAGCCATGCTTAACTGAATCCACATCACTATAAGTATGTGATCAATAGGAAGGAAGAGGGAGGTAACCTTGCTGTAGGGACAGTAGTCATGGTGTAGAGACATCATATTGATTGTCTACCTCCACCTGCCTTTTAATGGGGAATAAACATGGGAAAAAGGAATTCCAAACTTAGCTCTATTTTTTAAAGGAGGAAAAATCCGCAAAATAGATTATTTTCCTTATATTTTAAAAAGCTGAGTGGGTATTCCTACTGAATTGATTGACTACAGAGTGCTCAGACTCTAAAACAGGGAAAATTAAAAGGCCTCATAGTGGAACAGGCATGGCCCAGGGAATTGTCACTAGTCAGAGGTGCCTCTGGCATTACATTTCATGTGGCAAATTCAAGGGCAAGGAATAAATTTATTCATGAAAGCCCCCCAGCATAAAATCTGCAGGTTTAGATGCTGGGAAAATGTAACCCCTTGCAAACGAAGTATTAGCCCCAGAGAATGGGTGCTTCCTAACCACGAGGCTCCTAGAACTCCTAACCAAAAGCCACTGTGCAGCCCCTTCATTATTCCCTCACTGATAGAATTTGTTCTAGTAAGCAGAAAATTTGAAGGAAGTGGAGAGAAAACATGGAGGACTACAAATGGAAAATAGCAACTTCTAGGATCTCTCCCCTCCCCACACACACGCACACTAAAAGCCTCACCTGGGAACCACCCAAAGTCTATTGAACCAGCTAGAGTGGATGTTCTAGGTAAACATGTGTATCCTCTAATGCCTTACTAAGAGGTAAGCACCTTTCAAAAGGCAAGCTTTAGGTTCGTCCCTTCAGGCGAGAGTTTCATATATTTGTGTGAAATGTTACCTATATTAAGCACTGTGATTGTTTTTTCTTCCTTTCCCATGCACACATTTCTCCTGGAGGAGCATGTCAGGGGAGTTCAGACTCTTGCCACACAGAAATAAGATAATCACCACAGTCTGATTACAGGAACTCTTTTAACTATGCTCCTATGCTTGGAAAAGTTGTCAGAAATATTACTGGGAGAAACAGAAGGGAAAGAATGTAGTGCAATACTAGATCCTGCATGTTCATCATGACCCCAAACACAGTGAACAATCAAGAGATGTCCACTGGAAGTTGATGCAAATAGAAGCAGTAATTAGTGTTGAGAAAGTAATTTTGTTGCATTAATCAGGGGTATCAAACTTGCCTACACAGGTAGCAGCACTGGTAAATGCTATAAGTCATGGCTGGAGTTTTTAGAAGAGAAAAAACTGATTTATTTTTGAAAACCACATTGTTTAAATCCTGCTACATATAGGAGTTTCTAGCAGGAAATTTTCAAGTTACTTTGATTGCCTTATCAGAATTGGCTCATATTGATTTTGCTGGTTTGTGTGTCCTGAAATTATTTAGTTCTTAATGGTGTAATTGAATAGTTCATTTATTTACAGTTTTGTACTTTTTGCTTGAATGGGTTATTTTCTTTTTACATTAAATAATAAATTCTCATTGTTATAATCCATGACTAGCTTTAAGGAATATTATTAATATCTTTCTCTAATAAAAGCTCATACCAAAATTAACCAGGTGGAATGTAATCCCTTCCATATTTACTCAGAGGTAAGTCCCACTGAGTGCCAATGATAAATGAGAAGCACAGCTAGCTAGGTCATGCTAGAAGTTGGAGGAGCTTTTTCTGTTTAAATAGGTATAGGATTACATCTTAAGATGACAATGTCTTTGGCTTACCACTGTGACAGGATGACATGGGTATGTTCCCCAAATTTCTCTCCGGATATGGTACAATCATGGAACCCAATCCTTTATGTTTGTACTTGTTTTATCGAATTGTTTCCATAAGAAAATCAGTGAGCCAGAAACATAGAATCAGTTGTATGTCAGCTACATCCTTAATTGGTAGGAGTTATAGCTGGGTGCTACACACTGTCTTGGGCCAAACCTTTATATACATGATAAAAGAAAAAAAAAAGATGCTACATAAGCAAGTCTCTGGGAGGCACATGGAGAAAGCCTTGCTGGATTAGAGCAATGTCTGTCTAGTCCAGCATCCTTCCAACAGGGGCTGGCCAGATGCCTTTGAGAAGCACATCAGCAAGCCATGAATACAGTATTTATCCCCTGAACCCTTGTCTCTTCCCAGCCTCTGCACTTGAACCATGGAATACTTAGTAATAGCCTTATTTTTAAAAGCCCTCTAAGAAAGTGCTCAGACTGGTGACTTTCTTTACCTTCTTGTGTTGGTTTCTTATATCTCCATAAACTTCTTTTTATATTTCTTCCCTCCTGTTTCTATATGCTTCCTCTTATGCTCTTTGCTCTACTGTCAGTATTCCTTTCGGTAAGATTAAGACTGCAGTGTCTATTTCCAGGGGCAGCCCAAGATTTTTGCTGCCTGAGGCACAAAATAAGATGGCACCACCTTTCTTTCTAAGTACAGAAGCCAACTGGAGTGGCACTTGTCATTTTTTCAACACGGATGAGGTGACAGCATCCTCAGCCACAGCTGTGCAACACACAGGTCTTGCCAACACATTACTGCCTCCTCCTAGCATCTGTGCCTAAGGAATTGCCTCAACCTGCATTATAGACGGGGCAGCCCTGTCTGCTCCCCAGCTGTACTTATTTTTCTGCCTTTGCTTACTACTCCCTATTACTAGAATTCTTCCTAGCTGATGGTCATCTAGTTCTGCATCCAGGGGTCTATTTAAAGAAGGCATAATATTAACCAGTCTTTTCCTGGCTGACAAAATGGACCACTAAAGAGTCTTGGCTTATTCATGGTAAGCAAGGCTTGATTGATCCAGGATTTGGAAACATTACTCTGTGAGGAGAGATTGAGAGAACTCGGTATGTTCAGCTTTGAGAAAAGAAGACTGAGGGTGGAATGATATCCCTCTATAAATTCCTAAAAGGCTGTCACAAAGAGGAAGGACAAAATCTCTTCTTGCTCTTGCTAGAGTGTAGGACATGGAATAATGAACTCAAGTTGTGACAAATCAGATTCGGGCTAGATATCAGGAGAAGTTTCCTAACTGTCAGAGCAATACAAAAGTGGAACCTGTTGCCTGAAGAGGCTGTGGGGTCTCCCACACTAGAGACATTAAAAAACCCCTGGACAATCATCTGAGTAGGATGGTGTAAATTGCTGTCTTGCAACATCAGGGGGTTGGACTTAATGGCCTTCTTGGCCCTTTCCAACTCTGCTATACTATGATTTTATGACTCTTGATTTCTCCAAGTAGTGAAAATGGCTTAAGCAACTGGAAACTTTCCAGGAGGAAAAAGCATTTAAAAGGACTGGTAGAATAAAAACATCTCTGTCTGGCATTGAAAAGACAACCATGTGGATGCCAGGTAGCCCTCTCAGTGGTAGTAAGTGCACAATTTGGGAGCCACCATAGAAAAGGCCCAGTTAAGAGCAGTCACCCCACACATCTCCATATTTGGGGTCACTTGGAACACACACTTGAAGATCTCAGGGCATGGCAACAACACAGGGGAAAAGGGGGTTATTTGGATACTGTGGCCCCAAATTGTGAAATACTTTATAAGTTTACATGAACAATGTGAATTGGGCCTGGAAATGAGCTGAAAGCAAGTGAAGATGGTACAGTACTGGTGCAATAGATCTGCAATGCCCAGTTCCAGTCAGGGCCCTAGCTGCTATATTTTGTACTAACTGCAATTGCTAGATAATCCTGCAGCAACTCACATACAGAGCATTGCAGCAATCAGATCAGGAGGCTATCCTGGCATGGGACACTGACAACATGCTCTGTCTGTCCAGAATGAAGACTCTCTCTGGCTAGCAATCGTAAGGCACTGAGGACACCTTGATGCTCCCATGGGAATGGACCTTGATCTAGAATAAGCCAAAATTTCCTACATGAGGGTAGGAAATATGGTACTTTTCAGAGTTTTGGACTGCAGCTCCTAGAAGGCCCATGGAACATGCCCAAACTGGAGGGCACCTGGTTGTCTACTCATATACTACAGTCCATTGGCAAAAATTGGGGACTGGAGAGTCTGGGCACAACCTTTATAGCAATGAAATAAATCTCATGCAACGAAGCTGCACCAGTACCAGAAATGTAGCAATGCTGCCACCTAGCCACTACATTTAAAAGCAGAAGTCCTAGTGTTTGGCATTAGCTTAGAGGAAAAAAAGCCCTGTGAATCTCAGTATTCCCCAGCCAGCCATGCCTGGAGCTGTGGACCCTTTATCTAAATATGCACAGGATTGTGCTTTAAACTATTCTGCATCAACATAGAGTGGGGGCTGCTCATAAACACTAATGGCTTGCTAAAAAACAGGGCTAGTTTGCACATTCTCGTTTGTCACTTATTAAAGCCATGGACTAAGAACTACCAGAAGTACAGGCAGGATTTCGAAGAGGCAGAGGAACTAGAGATCAAATTGCCAACATACACTGGATCATGGAGCAAGCTAGGAAGTTCCAGAAAAACATCTACTTCTGCTTCATTAACTATGCTAAAGCCTTTGATTATGTGGATCACAACAAATTGTGGCAAGTTCTTAAAGAGATGGGAGTACCAGACCATCTTATTTGTCTCTTGAGAAACCTATATGCAGGTCAAGAAGCAACAGTGAGAACTGGACATGGAACCACTGATTGGTTCAAAATTGAGAAAGGAGTTTGGAAAGGCTGCATACTGTCACCCTGCCTATTTAACTTATATGCAGAGCACATCATGAG